AATACATAGGGTTTTTTTTTTTATAGTAATTAAAAATATTAATTTATAAATTAATTTTAATTTATTAAATAATAAATATTAATTATTTTGTTAATTATTAATTATTTTTAACAACTGAATCAGATAAATTAATGTAATTTGTATGGCTTAACATATTTTTATATAACCATAACCACACATTTTAGTACTAATAATCTATATGCCCACTAATCGAAATTATTATTCTGTTAATATATCGTCATCAATTTGTCGAATGTAGTTGTACCTAAACAAAATCAACAGGAAATATTACCGTTTTACTATCAATATATTTATATTAAAAAATTTTATTAATAAAAAAAAAAAAAAAAAAAAAAAATTGAACCGGGTGAGGGTTTTTTTTTTTTTTGTTTATATGGGGGGTGCACACCCGGGTGTGGGATCCAGGTGTGCACCCATCATTTTCCTTAAGATTTACAGTGCCGGATCAATTCGCAGGGTTCTCCATAAATTGTTTTTCTGTCCTTATCGTCGCTTTGTAATTGCTTTGTTTGCATTTCTATAATGCTAATTGGTAATCTATTCTCAAATAAATTGAAAAGCTTCCGCTGCTGCAGAAGCAAATGTACAATTTTAGCAAGGATTTGGATCATACAAGTTCATTTCATTGTGCTCGGCCTTAAAACCTGTCAGGTGGGCTTTTATAAAAAATATATATACAAAATAAAAACTTTGACTCTAAATACCCAAAAATAATAATAATAGAGAAAGAAATCAATAAAAGAAAGTAATGCCATTAATTTGTCAAATTTCTATGCTATGCTTAGTTTGTCGTTAGTTTGTCGTTGTTTTGACACATTATAAAATTTTTCTTATTTAGTAACCTTTTTTTCACAACTAAGAAATTATGCAAAGGACGCTGATACGGACACCCTTTGACAACACCCTCCGTTACACCTAACTTCAATTTCCGTTATCTCCGTTAATATACTTAACTCCGTTCCATCTTCTTCTTTCTCTT